TCGATCACGACACGACACGACACGACGGTTCCGAGCTTAGAACCGAGGACAGGAATATGGAGCCCCAGCTGGCTCCCGGGAGAATGTCCCTGGCATCTCCCACCTGGCGACACTATCTGGTTTGGTCCCTTCGCGCTCTGGCGCGCTTAGTCGCCCTTGACCGTGCGGTTAGCAGTATTCCACGTCTTTCCGAGACGTGTTTGGAATGGGATTCACACCTAGCGGGCACCCAACCGCACACACCGCTAACACCTTAGAAGTCTTTATGTTTGCAGGACTTTAGTAAATGGAGTGGTTTCGCTTTCATGAAATAGTTCACTTGATTTCTTATAAGACAACTACCTGTTCAGGCCGTTTATTCTCCCTTGCAAAGGAAAGACTCTAACCACGGAATCTCACCCCTAGACAGGGAGTGTTGACAACTTCTCCAGCCCTCCTATTCCAGCAGCCTCCTGGAGCAGTCAGTCTCCAAGAACCAAAAACCTTCACTGATCTTTATCACTTAAGGCTTACTTCCATTTACCTATTTAATTTTGTTTTAAGCTGGACTCAGGCTAGCTTGAAATTTTGATTCTATCTCTACCTCGGGAGGGTTGGGATGAACTAGTCGAATTTCAGTCTGTCTTAAATCTTTTAATGGCATAATTATATTCTTTAATATCAAAGGGGTTGATATAAGGTTGTTGTTGTTTTTTTTAAATTTTCCCTGATTTTTAAAAAGTATCTTCTTTTGAAGACAAGGTCCTATGTAGCCTAGGCTGGCCCCAAATCTATATAGTTTGTGATGACCTTGGACTCCTGTTTCTCCTACAGCCACCTGTCAAGTGCTGGGGTTGCAGGCATGAATCTGTGCTGGAATTGAACCCAAGACTTCATACATGTTTACATAGGCACTCGACTAATGAACCATATGCCCAACCCTCCCCAAGCCTTAAATGGCAACCACCCCCACATCTTACCAAAAAAACCCAAAGGCTCAGAAGACCTATAGTCTTCAAGGCCTTATAGGAACTGGGCTCACTGTGTTTGTGTGTGTGTGTTTCGGGATTGAACCCAGGGACTTGCACACGCTAGACAAATATTTTACTGTTGGGATACATTCCCAGACCCCTTCCTTATTTATTTATTTATTTATTTATTTATTTATTTATTTATTTATTTCTCAAACAGAGTTTCTCTGTGTAGCCCCGGCTGCCCTGGAACTCCTGACTCTGTAGACCAGGCTGGCCTCGAACTCATAGATCCACCTGCCTCTGCCTCTGGAGTGCTGGAATTAAAGGGGTGCGCCACCACCATCCAGCCACATTTTTTTTTTTTTGGTTTTTTTGTTTGTTTTTGTTTTGTGAGATAGGGTTTCTCTGTAGCTTTGGAGCCTCTTCTGGCACTTGCTCTATAGATCAGACTGGCTTCCTGAAAGACCTCAGAAGAGGTACTTTCGTAGAAGGAGACCCGCACCCAGGAATCAGCGAAACCACGAACTCTGGATGTAAGAGCAAGAGGCTTTATTAGTAGCGCTGGTACCCCGGGGCTTAGCTTTTGGGTAGGCTAAGCCCCGAGCCAAGGGAGAGGGGTCCTTATATAGCTAAACCCCGCTCGCCCCCAGCCCCGGGGCGCAGCGCCAGGCAGGCGGGCCTGGGTCGAGGGCCCCCGCCTGGGTGAACCGGCTTGGGATGGAGCCAGCCGCCAGGCGTGTGGGAGTGTGCGCGCGTACGGGAGTGTCACCGAGAGAGAACCAGCCAGGGGGCGGGGTCTTTCACTCCAACTCACAGAGATCCACCTGCCTCTGCCTCCCGAGTGCCAGCCACA